TAAACACTGAATTCAACAAACTTTTAGTAAAATTGAACATCTCAAAAAGATGAATCTAATTACACCAAAATTAATCAAATCCAAACCCAAATGAAAAAAAAGGGCTATAATTATATTTAAAAGCTTCAAAGAATTAATTGAACAATCAAATGACCTCCAAATTAGACATGTTGTAGTCGAATCGAGCGGCTAGACGAGACGAATCCAATGAGACCAATAGCATTCAATTCTAACATCAATAAGAAACATATGTGCTTGACAAACACTCAATAATCAAGAATTAATATGAACTGTCAGATAGAGCACTACGAATTTACCCTATATCTTCTTCATATTGATGCGACACGCCACTTCTAATAAATTATAAATATGCAACCATTCTTCACATGAAAAGGGGGAGGGAAGAGGAGGCTTAAACTATGCGTTAAAGACTCAAAGAGAGCTTTGATACTTGAAAAATTAAGGAACTCTACCCGGCACCATCGCTGATGAATCCTCATCGCCTGTCCGCTATTGCAATGCCGACTTCTCCACCTGACCGCTGTCACACACCGACTAAATTTATCTCTTATTACCATAACATGTCGACTACGGTCCCTCCGACCACTGTCACTAGACTATGATACTTCCAACCACTATTGTCCATCGGCTACATCCCTTATGACCATCGTCGTTCAAATACGATCCTTCTGACCACCGTCGCCCACTGATTATGATTCCTCCAACCAGCATCATTCATCTATAGCATAAATTGTCATGCCCCATAATCAAATTTGAAAGAATTATTATTTATCCTTCAATAATAACACTAACAACAACCATATTTATCTATTTTTTTCTTATTAATAATGAACTAATAGCCAAAATCATTATATTCATCAAAATATCAAATATAAATATGTATTCACATTTAAAATATATATATATATATATATATATATATATATATATATAATAACCAAGAGTTATATAATCACAACATACAATCTATTTGCTCCTAACCATAAAAGAATAACTAAATAGAAGTAATCAAAATAATAGATAAACCTGAAGGATCTTATAATTGCTCAGTCTTGCATCTTGATCATCTACCCTATCCTGAAAAACATTTAAACCATACATAATGAGTTGAAAAGCCTACCAGGTCACTATATCCTACATTTGAATTCAAAGCATAGTAAAGAAGCAATATGCATGTCATCAATCAATTTATAATAGTATCAGCCAATATGATCACAAATCTTTACATAAATAATAAATCACATGTAGTTGTGGTAAAATCATTAAAATAATAGAATAATATGATATGGATGCTAGTAAAATAGTACTATACTGAAATAGTATAATCGATAAACTAGTAAACTAGTAAATCGATATATCAATAAATCAGTGTGGAGCCGAATCAAATAAGTAGCAAATTATCCTTCCCAAATCATACATCATAATAGTAAGGAAATTATATAAATCAATAAACGTGAAATATCCATGAAAACTATTGGAATCCATAACAATGAAGTACAATCCGATCAGTATACACATGAAATTCAATCATTCTATATCAATATTCAATGAGTATTTATATCACATGCTCGATATAGAAATTATGTGCTTAGTAATAATAAATTAGTAACCAGTGAATCAATAGTAGTAACACTAACAGTGAATCAATATCAATATTAGTTATAGTATCAATATTCATAAAATTGATGGTAGTAACATTAAAAGAATAATTAGTAGAGTAGTTAAATATTGTCGTAACATGCATTCCAGTAATCATGCTAAATAAGTAAGGAGTTCTAGCTTGTGTGGTATTTTCCCAATAGTTCGTAAATTAGTAATTTATCATTGGCTCAGTAAACAGAGACATCACTCATTTCTCGTTGGCACAATAATAACTCCTTATAACTCCTAATTAGTGAATCAAGTGAATAAGTGGAGGATAACACCAAACTACATTATTTAAAGGAAAATCCCTTAGCCCATTATCATATACATGTATAAATTAATCTTCATCAAGTGTCAGTAATTCACCATTCTTGGTTTATTTTCACGCATTATTATTTTTATAGTATTATAAAAATAATAACAGCCAGTTATTACCCAACTATATGATCATTTATTAAGAATGATTCTATTAATAGTATGTCTATATTAAAATATCAAAGTTTTTATTTTGTGCAAATCATTTAAAATACAATAATTTCCATTTTATCTGGTGAAATTATGAAATCATTCAGTCAAAATGTCTAAAATAATGAGTACTGTAACATATAAAAAGTTGTAAGATCAAAGTTCACTAAATCCAAAGAAAATTTGATAAATTCAATTTAAAATAAATCATGTGATTCAAATCAAAATCTTTGAAAATAGAAATATGATAACAGTCACCTACCTCAATCTGAAAATTTTTGATAAAAAGGCAATTCGAACAAACACAAGATCACTTGATACTCAGGCCCGTAAAGTACTTCAATGTTGAATAAATAATTTATGATCAAATATTTTGATATGACTAATCACATTAAATGTTTTAGAATTTTGACTAAATTTATTAAAATGCTCACTTTAAAAGTATTATAAATTGACACATATTCTCCACATAGAAGAGATCCGAACTTGGATTGTAAAAGAACTTGGATATCTACAGAACTCCAAAGCTCCATTTAACATTTGACGCCTATGATCACTGCTGACCAACACTTTCGTCAGACTTTCATTATTTGATCTCTCAACTTTATCATCAAACCATTGCTCGATTGCCTTCATCAGACCATTAACTATTGTTACCAGATAGCCATCATTCGATTACCATCGCTCAATTGTTATTATTCGATAGTCTTCTTCTTATTAATGTCCCCTGATTTCCATTGTTTAATCATCATAGTTAGACTACTATCATCTAATAATTACATCATTATTATTCTTCCTTGCCATTTTTTTTAGATGTTTCACACTTAAAAATTCAAGTATCTAATAAATTTCTTTTTTTATTAATATATGTGCTAGTTTATGATACAAAACTTAAGAAGTAAAAATTATTTTTTTATTATAAAAATTTTTCTAACTCACAACAACTCTAAGCTCTACCACCCACTCTCTCTTCCTCTTTGAACCAAGAAATTATTCTATGTAGACTCCGGATGTAACTCTGTGTCCGAACAGAAATGAGATAGGATAGTTTTTTTTTTTTTTTTTATACATTTAGGGAACATGCAATTTTGAAGTTTTTTTTGTATTCTGCATATCATGCTTTATTTTTATCTTTATATTTGATTCATTTCGATAATATAATACTACATTCTTAAATAAACAGCTGATGAAGATGAAAACTGTATAGTTTTTTTCTTTTTGTTTGATTCAATTCAATAATATAATATCGCATGCTTAAATAAAGTCCATTGTGTACTTATTATATCGGTTGTGATGTTAAAATTTTGGCTTACGTCAGTGGACATTTTAATTAAACTTTAAATAAGCTGATGTACCATTATGTTTATGTGTTTTTTGTGATGTTTCATGCAATCCTCTATTTATCGTTATTGTGTACAGTTGTTGTGTATCTCTACTGTGTACCTCTGCTATGTACTGCTTTATAGTTTGGATAATATAATATTGCTTTCTTAAATAAAGTCCAATGTGATTTAGATGTAAGAAACAATCATGTGTTGGAAGCAATTATTTAACATTGACTAGAATTAGAACCCATTTATGGTGCAGGTTTACAACATTCTATATTAACAATCTGATTAAGAAATACTTAGTTATTTAGTATAGCTCATTTTTCGCTTTCATATATGTGGTGTTTTGTTTATTTTGATGTTGTGTACCACTGTGTACCGTCACTATGTATCGCTATTTACCACTGTAAATGAAAAAAAAAAAAAAAAAAAAAAAAATGGTTGAGGTTTGAAAAATGAAGCTGCTAGGAAGCTATCCCATGGTTTTTGTCCGAGTTGATTTATGAGCTTTATAATTAAATGTTTATAACCTGGATATGATATTAGATTAAGAGTTAAGACTATTAATAAAGCCTCATTTTCCTTGAATTCTAAGACAAGAAAGTGCTGCTACTTCAATAATTGTGACGATATTAATCCATTTAAGATTAATCAGGTCCTAATAATCATGGAACAACTTAAAGGCAACTCAACTAATTTGAGAGTCACCTATTTATGAAGCTTAGTATTTGTTATAAATGAATTTAGTTGGATTCAAAGCTTATGTTTGGTTCATATAAGCATGAATACACATCAATACCTAGTGCATTTTACACAGCAATGGTACATAGCGATACACATCAACAATACGTAACAATACACAGTAATACACAACAGTACACATCAATACATAGTAAAAAAAATGGATTTCTCACATAATTTATGTAATACATATATGTTAAAAAGTTAAGAAAACTTTAAAATGAACAAAAATATCACTGAAAATTTTACATAGTTGATTTACAGAAGCATGCGTTCTTCCATTAGGGCATATAAACACTGCGCTTTTACTACTGCAAATCATGGATAAAAAACGACTTAGAAACTTTAAAAACAAGCGGAACTTCAAAATTACTCTTCATTTTCAAATATTAAACTTAAAAAAAAGCCTACTTCAAAATTAACAGATTAGGTCGAATTCACCAGGGGGCGCTGCCCCTAAGAACCCAACATATTCCATAAGTGTACATAAAAAACTATTATTCCCTTTTATCTTCATTGGCTTGTCCTCCTCGGAGCTAATCTTCATATTCATTGGTTTTTTATCGTTTCTTCTTTCTCAGCTGTTATGAAAAGTTTATTGAACTAAAACCCTAAAAAATTTGGAACTTTCACGGTATTTCATTTAAAAAAGAGCGCAAATCCTAAACCTTAATATTTGAACAGGAAATTTTTAGGCCGGGTTGGCAAAAAAAATAATTAAATGTAAAATAGAAATGATTATCCTTGTGTATAATCTAAATATCATGATTTTATTGAAGTCCTAACACAAAATTAGGTCGCCCTGAATAATTTCTCCTCTCAACCCATCCCACCGCTGGCATCCCATACAGCTCGTTAACTCTTCCCAACGACGTTCAAAATCTAAAAAAATCAATTCCGTATCCTTCACGGGTTGCAAGAAAACAACTTCCATGTCGCCCACTATTTAAGCTCAATATGCCTTCCTCACTTTCCACGAGCTCCACAAGTAAAAAGGAGCAGGGCCGCCGAGCTCAAAACAACCATCTCAAGCTATTGCTTCGACTGAAACAATGTCAAGATCCGATATTTATCCCCTCTTCTTCCTCTTCTTGCTTCTCTCTTTCCGCACAGTTTTAGCTCAAAACCCCGTCTTTGCTTGCGACGTCGATGGGAATCCCAGCCTAGCAAATTTTGCCTTTTGTAATCGGAGTCTGGATATCGATTCCAGAGTGAAGGATTTAGTTGGGAGGCTTACATTGCAGGAAAAGGTTGGATTTTTGGGTAATAAGGCTGTTGCTGTGACGAGGTTGGGGATCCCAAGCTATGAATGGTGGTCGGAAGCGCTTCATGGTGTTTCTTATGTTGGTCCAGGAACCCATTTCTCGAGCTTGGTACCTGGAGCAACGAGTTTTCCTCAAGTGATTTTGACTGCTGCTTCCTTTAACACTACTTTGTTCACAGCCATTGGAAAGGTGAGATCTTGCTCTTTTTACAGCCTGTTTTTGAGTTGAAGAGCTTTTAGGAAAAGCAAAAACCCAATTTTGGTAGGTGTGTTTGTTGTTTGATTGATAGTTTCAGAGAACTCTCTCTCTCCCTCTCTCTCTCTCTCTCTCTCTCTCTGTTCTTCTTGCATTCCTAGTACTGAGGACAGAAATCTATTAGGCCCTGTTTGGTTTGATAGAATGGGGAGAAAGAAAATGAAAAATGGTTAGAAACATAATAGAAATTAGTTCTCATTTTGTTAAGGAAAAATGATGTGAATTTTTTTTTTGGATTGTTTGGTTGATGGTAAATTAATTGAGTTTTTAGTTATTGTGAGAAAGGGACAGAGAAAGTGGATTTTTTTTCATTTCTTAAATAAATATAATTATCTATTAATGATATCGAAATCAAATATCCACCATGAAATTATGAAGTAATAAATATTTCCATTCCTTTCAAAAAATTTTCAAACCAATCGCACCTTTTTGAAATCCTTATAGAAATTTGTATAAGAAGAAATTACCCATTTATATTCATTTATGCTTCAAGATTTGTGTTAATAAATCCTAAATAATGGGAATTTGTAATATATTTAAATGTGCACAAATCTCAACACACAATGGATGAAGATCTGCCGTTCCTTATACAAACTATTCTTAGCCTTTTGATCCCTTCTTCTAATGGTATTGAAGTCTTGCTGAATTTTATATGTTAATTTTGCTAAATTACTTGCAAAAAATCTTGGAATTAGGTGAGAACTAAATCAACCAGGAGGCAAGAGAAAAATTTAAGACATAAAAGTTACTTGTTATTATGTAGTTATAGATTTCCCTATGGTTTAAGGATTCATTTGAGACAGATTTCTTACTTCTTTTTTAAAACAACTTCCTAGTAAAATAACAAAATAGTAGTTGTCAAAAGCTGTCCTTTGTTTGGGACGATTTTCTTTCTACTTCTTAAAGCAGCTTCTTAGTATAATAATTTTAATTTTTGCACTAAGAAGCTGCTTTAAGAAATAATAAAAAAGATGTCCCAAACGAAGCCTAATTCTAAGTTTCTATAGCCCTAATTGTCTTAAATACAACATAAAGGTTATTCTCCCACTTTTAAATATTTTGAAAACCTTAAAACACCCTCAGTGAAAAGAAGGTCGATGCTCGATTAAATTTGCATTGAATGAATCAAAAATAAAAGATTACTGAAGCTTATTCCAATTAGTCCCAAACAGTTGGGATAAAACTAATGATGATAATAATGAAGCTCTGTTATCTTTTAATTTTGTTCTATGAATTATTCTTCATAACATTATTATTATTATTATTATTTGGTTGTTTATAAGATTTTTGAATTATCTCTCTGGTTTTTCTCTGCAATAATGTTGCTTTAGCCTGAAGTGTTGCATAAGATGTGGTTCCTTACCTTAAATTTGTTCAGATTTCTTTGTCAGTGGAGGGAGATCTATCTACTTTGCGTGTTTAGCTTCTTTAAATATTGGTTGGATCGTTCTTTATGGTAGTTTGGTTCTGTTTATCGACTGTTCATTTTTTTTTCTTCAAATAGAAATATTTCCATATGAAGAGAAACAGTATTGCATGGTTTGACTGAAAGCCCACTCATCTTCTATTTTCTTTATGTGAAATCATTACTTCTTAGTTGAGATGTCAATGTCTCTGTAGAGTAATTGAACTGCTGCCTTCTGATATTGTTTTCAAATCTGTTTAGAAGGTCACATGCTTATTTTTAGCTTTCATGAATATAGCAATCTGCTAATAAGGTGTGCGGACACCGAATGCCGTTTAGAGCCCAATGAAAATGTACCACGTCACCCTTACTCGGTACCGCGGCTCGGTACTGAGCTCGGTACTGCTTGGTACTGGATGACGTGGCTGCACCTGTTTGGCCTCTGGATGGTAAACTGTGTCCAGTGTCCGCACAGGATAATCTCTCGCTAATTGTATTAATGGTAACTTAAACATCTTTTAGGCTTGACATTGATACTAATTTCATTAAATCTTGTATAAATTAATTTTAGGTGGTTTCGACAGAGGCTCGAGCAATGTATAATGTGGGACTTGCTGGGCTCACTTTTTGGAGCCCCAATGTAAATATATTTCGAGATCCTCGGTGGGGGAGAGGGCAAGAAACCCCCGGCGAGGATCCATTGTTGTCAAGCAAATATGGTTCTTCCTATGTTAAAGGCTTGCAGGAAGCTGATGAACCTGATAAACTCAAGGTTGGAGCCTGCTGCAAGCACTATACTGCATATGATGTTGATAATTGGAAGGGGATTCAGCGCTACACCTTTAATGCAATTGTAAGTATAGCAAGCAAAGAATGAGAATCTGGTCATTCAATTTGATAGAGAGATCTCTTTTATTTAATTTTATGGTTATTTTGGAATTATTTGCTGGAAAAAAGGTAATGATAGATATGGAAAATAAATGCTTATTTGTATGAAAAAGTAAGCTTTAAAGAACTTTGTTATATGTTTTTTTCTTGAGTTTGGCATTAAAGAAATGTTATTCTTTAAATATCTATGTAGAATTAATTGATCTTGCAGCAATAAGTAAGGTTTTTTTTACCCTTTTTTATTGGGTTTTAGGTCACAAAGCAAGATCTGGGTGATACGTTTAATCCTCCATTCAAGAGCTGTGTGACTGATGGGAATGTGGCAAGTGTAATGTGCTCTTACAATCAGGTTAATGGAAAGCCCACTTGTGCTGATTCTGATCTTCTTGCTGGAACCATTAGAGGAGATTGGAAGCTTAATGGGTCTCTCTTTCTCTTCTTTTTCTCCCACATTTTCTCTAGCCTTTTAAAAACTTCAAAAGATTTGAATTCTAACTTTAAATGAATCCTTTATAAACTGCTCAACAATATGGAATGCTGTTTTTAAGAAGAATTAAAATTTAAATTTGATTGTTTGGTTTCTAAATCAGAATTTATTTGCTGCAGATATATAGTTTCTGATTGTGATTCTGTTGATGTGCTCTATAATAGCCAACATTATACTAAGACTCCTGAGGATGCAGCAGCTATAACCATCAAGTCTGGTAAGTTTTAGAACTACTACACATATAAAGACACAAGTAGCTAATCTCACATGATTTTTGCTCCCTCTAATGGCAAACTGGAAGTTGTCTCATCTAACAAGCACATGATATGTTCTTTGCTATAATACAATTATAAGCTTAACATGCATGACTGTAATCAATTTACAACAGGCCTTGATCTGGACTGTGGAACATTCCTGCCCCAGCATAGCCAGGCTGCAGTCCAAGCTGGCAAGTTGGCTGAGACTGATGTCGATCGGGCCATTGGCAACAACTTTGCGACCCAGATAAGACTTGGGTTCTTTGATGGCAATCCAAGCAAGCTCCCATACGGCGGGCTGGGTCCGAGCGATGTGTGCACTAAAGATAATCAAGAGTTAGCTCGAGAGGCCGCGAGGCAGGGGATTGTGTTACTCAAGAACTCTAATGATGCCCTCCCCCTCAATCCATCCAAGTTGGGATCTCTTGCAGTTATTGGCCCCAATATTAATGTCACAAAGACCATGATTGGTAACTATGAAGGTATATACTATTTTTCATACAACATGATTGTTCAATTGTGAATCAATCCAGAAAGATGAAAATTTTATGTATCATAGGAACACCTTGCAAGTACACAACACCACTGCAGGGTTTAATTCAAGCAGCCTCAAATTCGAAGATCACCGCGGTGCAAGGTTGCTCGGATGTGAGCTGCTCAGCCAACGGATTCCAGCTAAACCCAGCCAAGCAGGCGGCAGCACAGGCCGACGTCACCATCCTCATTGTTGGTGCAGACCAATCCATAGAGCGCGAGGGCTTTGACAGAACTGACCTGAACCTTCCAGGGCAGCAGACAGTCCTGGTTCAAGAGGTCACCAAAGCTGCCAAAGGCTTGGTGATCCTTGTGATCATGTCAGGAGGCCCATTTGACATAACATTTGCAAAGAATGATGACAAAATTTCTAGCATTCTTTGGGTTGGGTACCCTGGTGAAGCTGGTGGTGCTGCCATTGCTGATGTTTTGTATGGAAAGTTTAATCCAAGTGAGTTAACCATTATTGGTACTTTGTTTATAGGTTGAGCTAGTTTTGAGCTGTAAAACTGATTGTTTTGCTATTAGGTGGGAGACTGCCAGTTACTTGGTACCCTCAATCTTTTGCTGACAAGGTACCGATGACCGATATGCGAATGAGGCCCGATTCATCGACGGGCTACCCAGGTAGGACTTACCGGTTCTACACCGGTGATGTGGTCTATTCATTTGGAGATGGCTTGAGCTACACTAACTTCAAACACAAGCTAATAAATGCTCCCAAGCTCGTCTCTGTTCCTCTTGAAGAAGGGCATGAATGCTACAAAAAGAGCTGTAGCTCCATTGATGTTACGGAGAGTTTATGCCAAAATCTGGCATTCGATGTCCACATGAGAGTGGAGAATAGTGGAGCCATGGTTGGAGGCCATACTATATTTCTCTTCTATACGCCACCAAATGTTCATAACTCGCCAAAGAAGCATTTGCTTGGGTTTGAGAAGGTGAAGCTGGAGCCAAAGGCTGCAAGGAATGTGGTGTTCAGTGTGGATTTTTGCAGGGATATGAGCTTGGTTGATGAAATGGGAAATAAGAAAGTGGCATTGGGATCTCATGTGTTACATGTTGGAGATTTGAAACATTTCTTGACCGTTGGAGTTTGAGGAATTGGGTGAATTGGATCTTTTTATGAATTAGGGACTTCCAAAGGAAATCAAGAATTTATTTCCATGGAAGTTGTTTGATTCAATTGTAACCTTAAATAAGGTTTATTCTTCATTTGGCCATTTTTAATATGAATCCAATTGAACAGAAATTTGTGGATTAATTGATATCATATTTAGGGTTCTTGGAGCTCTACAGTTTTCTGAAATGCTCATTCTTATCATATATGTTTTCGAAAATTAATAAAACTATCACAAACAAATAAAAATATTATCTATATATGAATTAAAATTGACAAATAATAATAATAGTAATAAAGTTAAGGTTTCGTTTGGGACAGCTTTCTAACTATTTAAAGCAATTTTTTAGTACAAAAATTTTAATTTTTTTTTTTACTAAAAAGTAGCTTTAAGAAGCAATCAAAAACCATCTCAAATGAAGCCTGAATTTCTTTGACTTCTATTAATTGTCAAGATTATTCTTATATCTTCCTTATTAATTTAAAAACATCAATGACCTCCATATAGTTATATAAATGTTTGAATTCCATTAGGGACAATTTTTTGGCATTAAATGCTAGGTCAAATTTTGAGACAAATCTTATTGTGCTATTTATATTACAAAAATTATAATTAAATTTAGAATCGTCAGAACTTTAATTTCAATAAACTAACAATCAAATTGAGCATCTTGACAAAACAATTTCAATAACATAAAAAAAATGGTATGATTTTTCTTAATTATCATTTTTTTTTTTTACTTCCAATCATTTGAGATTGCCTCTAATTTACCTTTTAAAAAATATTAGATTCATGAAAAATGAAACAAGATACAATTATATATATAATTTGCTTGATAAAATTTCATGTAACCTCTTAGAAGAAAAGATTTCATGCTGCTTTACTAATATTTAAGGTTTCATATGAGACATTTTTATTGTTGTTTTCTAAAGCAACTTTTTAGTACGAGTTTTTTAAAAACAACGAAAAAAAGAGTAGCCAAAACCATCACGTTAGGTTGGACAAGTTTTTTGGGACAGTTGGGCAAATTAAGACTTCATTTGGGACGACTTTCTTACTGCTTCATAAAGCAGCTTTTTAGTATAAAAATTAAAATTGTTGTACTAAAAAGTTGATTTATGAAGCAGTAAGAAAGCCGCCTCAAACGAAGCCTAAGTCAAATTCACACGCACATTACATATACAAACTTCAAATTCATAATATCTTATTTGATAGCTAAAGTTTTCGACGGACAGACTAAGATGAGTTGCATACAGAACGTCCTTTTCAAAAAAAGTATAAAGCATTTAACACAAATATTAATATGTAATTAATATGAAAGGGTACTTTGTTGATGGCATGATCGTTACATGTCTACGTTAAATGTAGCAATCACTCCTTTATTGACCATAAATGAAACAATCTTTTCACTGATTTTGGCATCATCAAATATAAAATTTTGACTGGTTTTATATGAAAAAAAAAACAGTCATGATTAATTAGTTGCCTATGATTATTTTTTCAAGTTTTAATAAGAAATGGTAAGAAAATATTTCATCTCTAAATTTTCTTCAAATTTTTATATACTTAGTTTTAGTGTGGTATTGATATAAAATAATGTCATAAAAATTAAAAACTTGTTAAGGCTTTTGGGATATTTTTTTATGATTTTATCACTATTTTTTCACTGTTTTAAAAATATTTTTTTTAACTAAAATATTAAAAACTTGTTAAGGCTTTTGGGATATTTTTTTATGATTTTATCACTATTTTTTCACTGTTTTAAAAATATTTTTTTAACTAAAATGCTGATTTTGAAAGCAGTAAGAAAGTCATCTTTTATATATATACAGGAGGGGGCGGGGATTTGCGCATTAATCACAACTAGGGGTTAGATGAGCTCAAATGCAGGATCCAATGATTGGAGAGAGGACTCTCAACCAACAATCACAATAGTTCGGCCCAAATATGATATAGTAACTATCTAACTTTGATACGTCATGAAAATTTTTTTTGATCGTACTATATGTAATATTCTTATGCATTTTGTTCATGATAAGCTTCAAAGTCTTTGAAGTTATAATGAGATTAATATTATTTATAATATCTTAGGGCTACACTAATCTTAGTGCAAATTCAAAAGCTTTCAAGTCAATTATAATGCAAAACGTCTCATGAATAAAGAAGAAGATGAAGTGGAAGCAATCACATTAGTGGAATATTGTTAGGAGAAACTCCGCTTTGAAATCCTTCTTAGACTTCATTTGGAACAGCTTTCTTACTGCTTCTTAAAGCAGCTTTATAGTATAAAATTTTAATTTTAGTACTAAAAAATTATTTTAAGAAGCAATAAGAATGCCGTTCCAAATGAAACCTTAATCACAAGATGCTAGAAATATAAATGGAAAATAATTGAGTTATTTCTAAACAATTTAATGATTTTGAGGCTTATTTTGAATATTTTTTTTTTATCATGATTGACTAAAAAAAATACAATAGAGATAATGATTAAAAAGGTAAAAAATGCATATAGGCAAAAGATTAGGAATTCATCTGAAATGATAAGCTCAATTTGTCCAAATTTCAAATATTCTCTTTATAATTCCTTTATTATCTATTTTTAAATGCTATTGTTGTATTAAAATATTTAACTTAGCCATGAAAACTCATTAACAGTTGCTTCTAAGGTACATTATAAGTTAATGCTCATTAATTACTATATTGTCAATAATTGTATTTTTGTTTAAGCTTTTATATATATATTTTATTTTTATATTAAAAGCCTTGTATAATGATTTCATGGTTGTATGCATTGAAGCCCACAAAATATCATCCAATAAATAGAGATAGATCTGAGAGGTCATATCATCATTGTAATAAAAAGTGAGAAACAAAGTAAAAAAGTAAATTAAAATAATGAACAACTAAGACTTCGTTTGGGACGACTTTCTTACTGTTTCTTAAAACAAATTTTTAGTACAAAGTTTTTTAATTATTGTTCTAGAAAGCTGCTTTAAGTAGCAGTAAAAAAGCCATCCCAAACAAAGCCCAAGTCATCAAAAGTATGAAGTTGCTGAGACTTAAGACAGCCAAAATATATGTCACCACAAAAACAAGCTCATCATTTCAAATTATCCAAAAAAAAAAAAAAACTTACAATATCCAAAAATATATTAACTTTATTTCCATCTATTTAGCATAGCATGTGAAGAATCCTTTATCTAGATAATAGAATTTTAAAAGCTAGTAATATTAGTTGCGAGATTTTTCATCATTCCTTATATAGTAGACAATGCAATTAATAAAGAAGAGGTAAATGCTATTATATGTGATAGAGAAGTTGCCCATATCCAATATATGGTACAAAATTTAAAGGAGAGATGGGCTAAGTAAGAAAGCAATCATCTAAGGCATCATTTGGGATAACTTTCTTACTGCTTTCTAATATAAAAATTTCTAGTTTATAAACTTTTTGTACTCAAAAACTACTTTACGCAGCAGTAAGAATTATGTCCCAAATGAAGTCTAAGATAGCTAACTTTCAGAAAGAGCATTAGAGTAGAAATAAGAGAAATAAAGGTGATTGCATAAGTTGAGAAACAATAGCTACCCTTCCATGAGACCAAGAAGGGAAGAATTCATCTAAAACATTATTATTATAAATGGAGTAGTGAACATCATAAATGTATGTCTCAATCCAACAAACAACGAGAGAAGGAAAAAACCCTTAAGATTTAGCCTTCTAATGTAATGCTCCCTATTAAAAACATAAGAAGTTCTTCGAGTATCGAGCTTGGCACAAAATAAATTAGGTGGATTCCCATAGTTAAAATCATTCAGAATTAATTTCATTAGTCATAATGATATTATCCAAAGTGATTATATTTTTGAGTAAGTCTATATTGAGCTTGATGAGTGACAAAAGGCATCACATTCTTCAATTTCTTAGTTAGCACATTGACAATGATCTTATAAGAATAATTAAAAAGAGAAATAGGCCTAAAATTATAGATTTTATGATATTGAGAAGCCACATGAATGATCATAATGACAATGACCTTTGCTTGTTTAGGTAACTTATTGCACAAAAGAAATTATTTAATTGCAATGCAAATGATATCACCTATTATATCCGACGAGAAAAAATATTAATTAAATAAAGAACAATCAAACCTAGATGCTAAAATTTTAGAATCTAAGAAGACCACCCTCTTGGATTTCTTATTAGGAACATGAGAAGCAAGATTAGACAAATAAGTTAGGAGAAATAGAGCTACAAACATTTATGAATTCAATTTAGGAGCAATATCATGTGGTGGGAGAGAACAATTACTAAAAAATAACCAACTATGACCATAAAAATATCCACACAAGAGAAATGTCATTTATTAAGAATATATAGCTCTTTAGTGAAAATAAATAAATAAATAAATAAAAAGATAGCTCTTTAGTGTAATTAGATTTTTTTTTTATGGCATTTAGGTCTAACAAAGAGATAGTGGAGGTCATCCTCTCAATTAGTTAACCACTTTGCTTTAGGCCTCTTAACAAACCAAGAAGCGTGAAGCCTCTTGAGCTTCAAAGCCTATTATTAGTGTCTTTCGCCACTTGATAGAGTTATCATGGTCATCAAGATTGAAATTAAGGAGGTGATGTAGCTTAGCTTAATCGTATGTAAGAGCTTTAATAGAGTTAGAGAAGTGCTTAATAGATGATCAATCATGCTCATTGAGCTTGTATTTTAAAAACTTGAGCTTATAATAAATTGAAGAAATAGAGTCATAACTACAAAGAAGAGACCATATAAGCTAAAAAATTAAGATATAGTTAGGTGAATGAGTAAAAAAAAAATTTAAATATGGAATTTTGACTTCTACAAGATGTAAGATGATAAGACACAGCGAGAGTTAAGACGACAAGAAAATAATGATCATAACAAAATGGATAGAGAATTTTGTAGACGAAAAAGGAAAATAGTCCAACCAAGTCAAGTTATCAAAATAGATGATTAGAGTTTCACACAAAATAGAAAAAGATGAGAATCAATTAGAAATTTATATGATATAAAGAAATAAATCCTAATAAAATCCCAAACATCCAAAAGGAAGATACTATAATTTTAATTTCTTGTGTGTAACTTATTTTGATAGTCCTTTATCTATACCTTTCAATCTTTCATACATATGTATACTTTTAAATTTGTTGACCTTTGGCTCTTAATATTTATAAAGAAAACATAGTTAAACAAAGTAAAAATAGCAAACATTTAGAAACAATAAACAGAGTATGCTACCTCCATAAACCTTTCATCTCAATTATGCAATATAAATAAACCACAGCAATCAACTCCCCTTTATCCAAAATCAAACCAAAACAATGGGAATGAAATTATTGTTGGGGGATTTACATGCATACCACTTTATTTCTTGTATATTACATATTTAACACCTAATACTTAAATATTACACTACTACCACCCAAACACTATTTTTACAACAAGAATACCACCCCGTCAACAACATCGCTCACTCTGTCTCTTTCATTCTTCCAGCATGAGCTTTCCGCGCGAGAATAGGTTTTTTCCGGCAAGTATGTCTGAAGCGACACTTTCCAAGTGCACTCAGTTTCTGCATTTCTCGGATGAGCTCTGCTCCTTTTTCTTCCCTAGTTATTCTTCTCTATGCGTTTCTGCATTAGCTATCCTCCTTTTTCTTCCCAAGTTAAACTTATGGTTTGCGAACATAAGAAATACTTATGTTTTTGTAGAAGATAGTGTGGCTTCAAGATCAGAAAACTTATGTTTTGTTCGTTTTCAATTGAAGAGTCAATGGATTGGGAAATATAACTAACATTATTCTAAGGGATGGGTATGAGAGCTGCCTTACATATGCAAATGAGCTGGAATTAGTTGCATGTCTTTAATCTGCTACTTGCCCGAGGTAGACGCAGATGTCTTGGATGCATTTTTAAAACCTTGCTTTGTATAAACTTATCAAATTGATTATACTAGTGACTGGGAGAATTGTTTCAAACCATATATAGGTTTATTCAAGTGGCATATATTTCCATTATCTCCATCTGTGAATCCTTCCGGCTTCAATTCAGTTAAAGAAGATGCAAAAGAAACTACAGTTTTCACCAGAACAAAAGGACAACAGAGGGTTCCACGAGAAATGTGCTGGAAGGCTTCAGTGCAAGCAATGAGGACGTTCCGTCCTTGGGTGGTTAGGTATTGCCGAATGAGAGAGACGGAGTGAGGGATTCTATTGACGGAGTGGTATTTTTGTTGTCAAAATAGTTTTTGGGTGGTAGTAGTGTAATATTTAAGTATTGGGTGTTAAATATGTAATATACAAAAAAAAGTGGTATGCATGTAAATCCCCCATTATTGTTTGGATAGGGATGATTGTGCATTCTGTTTGATCGGTCTTACTTTTATGGATTACCAAAACTAATTGGCTTCATAATTTTATCATCCAAACTGTCCAAATCTATCGAATACATTTTGATCCTCCATCTCTCTCCTCAATGGCCAAAACCAATCCCATCCAATCTTATCCCACTCTCTCTCTATCTCTCTACGCCTTTAAGCCAATCCAATCCAATCCCACACAGCTTGTTAACTCTTCCCAACGACGTTAAAAATCTAAAAAAATCTATTACGTATGCTTCACGGGTGGCAAGAAAACAACTGCCATGTCGCCCACTATTTAAGCGCAACAGAGCTACTAAGTAATAAGGAAAAGGTCTGGCGAGCTCACAGCGCCCATTTCAAGCCATTCTTTCTAATGAAACAATGTCAAGATACGATCTTCGTTCCCTCTTCTTCCTCTTCTGTCTTCTCTCTATCCGCACTGTTTCGGCTCAAAACCCCGTCTTTGCTTGCGACGTTGATGGGAATCCCAGCCTAGCAAATTTTGCTTTTTGCAATCGAAGTCTGGATGTTTATTCCAGAGTGAAGGATTTAGTTGGGAGGCTCACATTGCAGGAAAAGGTTGGATTTTTGGGAGATAATGCTGGTGCTGTGCCGAGGTTGGGGATCCCAAGCTATAGATGGTGGGGGGAGGCGCTTCATGGTGTTTCTAGTGTTGGTCACGCCACACATTTCTCGCCCTTAGTGCCTGGCGCGACGAGTTTTCCTCAAGTGATTTTGACTGCTGCGTCCTTTAACACAACTTTGTTCAAAGCCATTGGCAAGGTGAGAGCTTGCTCTTTTTGCTACAATAGGGGTGTAAACGAGTCGAGTCGAGTCGAATTTTGGCCCTTATCGAGCTCGGCTCGTTAGATAGAAAGCGAGCTCGAACTCGAGCTCGAGCTCAGCTCGCGAGCCCATAAACGAGTCGAGCTCGAGCCGGCTCGCGAGCCGGCTCGGCTCACTTACTCCCCTAGCTACAACCTGTTTTTGAGTTGATGAACTTTAAAGTAAAAAAAAAAATAAAACAGATTTTGGTGGGTGTGTTTGGTGTTTCATTGATTGCATCAGATCTCTCTCTCTCTATTCCTCTTGCATTCCTAGTACCGAGCACAGAAATCAATTAGGCCCTGTTTGGTTTGATAGAATGAGTAGGGAGTAAATGACAAATGAGTGAAATGAAATTGATAAGAAATAGAATAAAACTTAGTTTTCGTCATTTTGTTTGGTTAAGGAGGAAATTAGTGAAAATTTATTATTAATTTTTGTTTATAAGATTTTTGGATTATCCCTTTGTTTTCCTCTATGTAATAATGATGCTTTGGCGTGAGGTGTTGCTTAAGATCATCTCCAACCGAAAAACTCATTTTTCACTCCAAAATGCAATAATATTTTAACATGTAGTAATTCATCTCTTGCCAAAGTCTATTTCTTAACACAAAAAAGAATATTCCGTTTTAAATGTGAGATGCAATGGGTAGACTCACCGCCTTGCTCAAGTCATTAATCCCAAACTTTTTCAGCACCTCCCAAACATAACTTCTTGTGAAAGCCAAACCTTTCCAACTGCCTTGTCCCTCATAATCTTCATGCCAAGGATTTTGAGAGTTTTACCCAACTCCATCTCAAAATGTTTTGATGGTTGTTTCTTCATCCTATCAATCTTAGTCTTGCTGACAGATGCAATCAACATATCATCAACATATAGAAGCAAGTAGATGAACTCACCGTTGGCCAATTTCTTGAAATATGCACAATGATTATACTGTCTCATTGTGTACTCCTCTCTCATCATGAACTAATCAAGCTTATTGTGGTGACTGCTTTAACCCATATAAAGGCTTGTCTAATATGCAAATCAAGTTTATAGATTTTCTCCTGCATTTCTTCGTGTAAGAATGCAGTCTTCACATCAAGATGCTCCAGAATCAGATCATAGTGAGCAACAAGTGCTAGGAGACACAAATCGAGGGATGCTTGAACATTACGGAGAACACCTCATCATAATCAATCCCTTCTAGTTGTACAAACCCTTTTGCCACCAACCTAGCATTGTACCACACATCAGCTCCATGAGATCATTCCTTCTTTGCATATACTCATTTGCACCCAATGGCTTTTCTTCCTAAGAGATTTCATTTCTTTATCTATAGCCTTCTTCCAAAGATCACCTTTAGGAATGTCCACTACTTGTAGTGATTTGGAATTTCAGCCTCTATTGTAAAAATGCAAATGCAATGTGATCCCTTTACCAAGATGACTTTAGGACATTCTAAAACCTTTTCTTATTCCTCATAATAGATTCCTGAACTAGAATCTCATCCTCAGCATCATCTTCTACCTCCTGATCTGTAGCTGAATCAGGTGCCTGGGTAGAGCTTATCGGCTTTTGTGGAGCAAATAGAATTGTATCAAACTCTAATTTATGCAGTGTATTTGTGGTCCCAGTGGAACTCTCCACTTTCTTTAAGTCTCGAGGCTTCAACATGGTCGTCTCATAAAAAAGTAACATCCTTGCTGATGAAAAATTTCTTATCTATTGAATTATAGAGTTTGAAGCCCTTGAATCCACGTCTGAAGCTAATAAATATTGCCTTCCTCGCCCTTGGTTCCAATTTATCATTCTAAGCATGATAATAAGTTGGACACCCAATGCTCTTAAATGCTGATAATCTCTAGCAGGATGTCCTGACCATATCTCCTTTGGTGTCTTCTTCCCAATAGCTGCAGAAGGCAGATGGTTCTCTAAGTAACAGACAAAGCGATTTATATGATTCGTTGGAGATGCTTACGTCCACGGGGAGGGGATGATTTCACTAAATTGGAGAAACAAATAGGAATTACAAGACTCTCAAGCTCTCTCTCTATCTCAACAACATCCCCTCAGACTCTATTTATAGATTTGAGACAAAATAAATTAGGAAATAGCTTCCTAATATAACTCCTAACAAATCCTAATCAAATCAGCAACATATGAAAAAAAAAATACTCAATTTAATACATTAGTTTAATATCATAGCTTTCCGAACTAAAAAAACTGATTTGATTTGAAATTAATACCGAATCAACATCAAGACCATAGCAATCTGCTAAGTAATAGAAAGAGCTGTTTATAATGTAAACTGTAAATTGAATTTGTTGTTATACTAATTTCACTTAATCTTTTTTTAATTAATCTTAGGTGGTTTCGACAGAGGCTCGAGCAATGTACAATGTGGGACATACTGGGCTAACTTTTTGGAGTCCAAATGTAAATATATTTCGAGATCCCCGGTGGGGGAGAGGGCAAGAAACCTCAGGTGAGGATCCATTGTTGACAAGCAAGTATGCTTCTTCCTATGTTAAAGGCTTGCAGGAATCTGATGAACCTGATAAGCTCAAGGTTGGTGCCTGTTGCAAGCACTATACTGCATATGATCTTGATAATTGGAAGGGGATTAACCGCTTGACCTTTAATGCAATTGTAAGTATAACAAGCAAAGAATGAAAGTCTAGTCATTAAATTTGATAGAGAGCCTTTTTTATTTAATTTTATGTATACTTTTGGAATTAATGAAATATTCTTCTCTATATCGCTACGGAGTTTTATAGAATTATTTGATCTTGCTTCAACAATTAAGATTTTTTTGTCCTTTTTTTTGGGTTTTAGGTCACAAAGCAGGATCTGATTGATACCTTCAATCCACCATTTAAGAGCTGTGTGATTGATGGGAATGTGGCAAGTGTAATGTGCTCTTTCAATCAAGTTAATGGAAAGCCCACTTGTGCTGATTCTGATCTTCTTGCTGGAACCATTAGAGGAGATTGGAAGCTTAATGGGTCTCTCTTTCTCCTCATTTTCTCCTTCTTTTTCTCTAGCCTTTTGAATACTTAAAAAGATTTGAATTCTGGAATTGAAATTCCTTGATGTATAACTTTACATTAATTCTTCGTAAACTACTCAAAAAATACAAAATACTACTTTTAGAATATTTGAATTTTATTTATGATTATTTGGTTTCTAAACAAAAAATTTCTTGTTGTAGATATATAGTTTCTGATTGTGATTCAGTTCAAGTGCTCTACAATAACCAACATTATGTTAAGACTCCTGAGGATGCAGCGGCTATTACTATCAAATCTGGTAAGTGGTAGAACTACTTCATATACACTGACACAGTTTGTAAATCCCACATGATTTTTAATCCCTCTAATTGCTAAATGTGAAACCCCTTAAGTAAAAGAAAGCTAACTCTTAAACATCAAGGCACCTTTTGGTGTAATGGATAAAATTTATATAAGAAACTCCACAATTAAGTGTGCTTTCATCCTAGAGCAATTCTAGGATGGATGACCTACTGGAAAGTTACACCAACAAGATAAAGGCTATTAGGCCAAAGCGGACAATATCTCGATACTTAAGAGTTTGGAGTGTTACACTAAATGTGTAAGATGAATACATAATAGCAAATTGAAAGTTATATTTCCCTATTTTCTTGAGTTAAAATATATTGAGTATGCTTGAAATAAACAAATAGTAAGTAGAATCTACTTAGCCAATAGTCATCTAACAAATACATGACATGTTATTTGTTATAATGCATTTATAAGCTTAGCATGAATGATTGTAATAAATCTGCAACAGGCCTTGATTTGGACTGTGGACAATATCTGACCAAGTATAGCGAGGCTGCAATCCAAGCTGGCAAGTTAACCGAGGCTGATGTCGATCGGGCCATCACCAACAACTTTGCGACCCAGATAAGACTCGGGTTCTTCGATGGCAATCCAAGCAAACTCCCTTACGGTGGTCTGGGTCCGAGCGATGTTTGCACTGAAGATAACCAAGAGTTAGCCCGAGAAGCGGCAAGGCAGGGGATTGTCTTACTCAAGAACTCCAATGATGCCCTTCCTCTCAATCCCTCCACATTAGGATCTCTTGCAGTTATTGGCCCCAATATGAATGTAACAAATACCATGATTGGTAACTATGCAGGTATTCCTTATATGGAGAAGATTGGCAATAATTTGTCATTCTGAGACTTATGGTTATAATTGTGAATTAATCTAAAAATATGATATTTTTCTGTATTATAGGAACACCATGCAAGTACATAACACCACTTCAGGGTTTAATTCAAGCAGCCTCAAACTCGAAGGTATTTGCCGTGCCAGGTTGTTTGGATATCAAATGCTCAACTAATGGATTCCAGCTAAACCCAGCCAAGCAGGCGGCGGCACAGGCCGACGTCACCATCCTCATTGTTGGTGCAGACCAATCCATTGAGCGTGAGGGCTTGGACAGAGCTGACCTCAACCTCCCAGGGAACCAGACAGTCCTGGTTCAAGAGGTCACCAAAGTTGCCAAAGGCTTGGTGATCCTTGTGATCATGTCAGGAGGCCCATTTGACATTTTATTTGCAAAGAATGATGATAAAATCTCTGGCATTCTTTGGGTTGGGTATCCTGGTGAAGCTGGTGGTGGTGCAATTGCTGATGTTTTGTTTGGAAAGTTTAATCCAAGTGAGTTTACTATTATTACTACCTTGTTCTTAAGTTGAGCTAGTTTTGAACTCAAAAATTGATTGTTTTGCTATCAGGTGGGAGATTGCCAGTTACTTGGTATCCTCAATCTTTTTCTGATAAGATACCTATGACGGATATGCGAATGAGGCCTGATTCGTCAAGTGGCTACCCAGGTAGGACTTACCGGTTCTACTCCGGCGATGTGGTATATTCATTTGGAGATGGCTTGAGCTACACTAACTTTGATTACAAGCTAAAAAATACTCCCAAGCTTGTCGCTGTTCCTCTTGAAGAAGGGCATGAATGCTACGAGAAAACTTGCAATTCCCTTGCTGTCACAGATAGTTTGTGCCAGAATCTAGCATTTGATGTGCACTTGCGAGTGAAGAATGGTGGCGCCATGGCCGGAGGCCATACAGTCTTTCTCTTCTACACGCCACCGGAGATTCATAATGCTCCAAAGAAGCATTTACTGGGGTTTGAGAAGGTGAAGCTGGAGCCAAAGGCTGTAAGGAATGTGCGGTTCAGGGTGGATTTTTGCAAGGATATGAGCTTGGTGGATGAAATGGGGAACAAGAAAGTGGCCTTGGGATCTCATGTGCTCCACGTTGGAGATTTGAAACATTTCTTAACCGTTGGAGTTTGATGGGTAGGGTGAATTGGATATATTTATGAATTAGGGACTTCCAAAGGAAATCAAGAATTTATTTCCATGGAAGCTATTTGATTGAATTATAACTTTAAAGAAAGTTTATTCCTTTTTGAGCAATTTTTAATATGAATCCAATTGAAGAGAAATTTGTAGATTAATTGATATCATATTGCTTCTTGAGCTCTATAGCTTTCTAGAATGCTCATTCTTATCATATATGTTTTTGAAAATTAATAAAACTATCATAGACAAATAAAATATTTTCTATATATGAATTTAAGTTGACAAATAATAATAATAGTAATAAAGCTAAGGTTTGGCTTGCGATGGCTTTCTTACTACTTCTTAATCCAGCTTTTTAATACAAAAATTAAAATTTAATTTTTTTAGTAACGAAGAATCTCATAATCTCAGGTTGAAGCAGAGTAACGGATGCAGAGAACAAAGAGCAAGAACAGGAAGAGAATGCAAGGACTGTATTGCCTAAACAGAGATAATACATTGGTATTTATAGCATATGGGTGAACGTTCCAGAGCCAGCCATTATCAAGAAGCTAAAGATTACAATGGCTACTTAATTACATTAAATGGTTTTGTTCTAATACCCCTACAAGTTGATGGATCTTCTTTGACCATCAGTTTGAATCTGAGTTGTTGAAATCTTGGTGTTGAGAGGGGCTGGGTAAAGATATCGGCAGTTTGATCTACGGTGCTAATTGGTAGTAGCCGAATGTTGTTGTTGTGTATGTGATATCGAATAAATATGTGGTTGATCTCGATATGCTTTATTATGGCATGGAAAACAGGGTTATTAACCAGAGCTATGGCGGAAGTATTGTCACAATATAGATCTGTTGGTTTAGAGGGAGGAACTCCAAAATTTGTCAGAATTCTTTGAATCCATATTATATATGTTCTAATTGTGGCCAGATCTTGGTACTCCTATTTTGTAAATGATCGGGATACAATGTGTTGCTTCTTTATCGTTCAGGATATAAGAATGTCACCATGGTAGGAGCAGTATCCTGAAGTGGACTTACGTTAAACCAGATCTCCAGCCCAGTCAGCATAAAAAAATGAATGAAGATCCAGCGTGCTTTTAATGAATGGTATGCCGAAGAATTGCATCCCTTTGATATATCTGAGTAGTCTTTTTAAGAGAAACACGTGTTGGCTAGAAGGATTATGCATGTGTTGCGAGAGAAAATTAATGGAATAAGCAATGTCCGGTCTGGTAAGGGTGAGATATTGGAGTGAGCCAATTAATTTTTTTGGTATAAACTAGGTTCGAATAGGATAGGGTCAGCAGGAAAGACCGAAGGAAGTTTGGTGCAATTCAGATTGGCAAACGAGTTACATTGAGTGAGATGAGCCAATTGAAGTATAGACTGAACATATTACATTTGAGATTGGAAGAGTAGTAATTTGAATGCTAAGGAATGAGTGAACCTTTCCAAGATGTTTCATTGTAAATTTGGAATCGAGTTTGTTCAGGAGTTCAGTAATAGCGGAGGGGTTGTTACTAGTGACGAGAATATCGTCAGCATACATAAGAAGGTATATGTGAGCTGAGGAACAATGAAGGATTAAAAGCGATGGATCAGACTTCTATGTGAGAATCCGAGAGATATGAGGTAGGAGGTGAATGTGTTGTTTTCTGAGGGGTTCGTTTAAGTCCATATATAGCTTTGCGCAAGAGACAGACATGGTTTGGATGTAAGGAGTCTGCAAAACCTTTGGGTTGACTCATATAGATTGTGTCAGTTAAATTTCCGTGCAAAAAAGCATTGGCGACGTCAAGTTGTTGCACGGGCCACTCGTTATGAAGGGCAATGGTTAAGAGGATGCGTATGGTAGGAAGTTTAGTGACAGGACTGTAAGCTTCAGTGTAATCGATTCCATATTCCTGGTGATTTCCTAAGGCAACAAGATGAGCTTTATGTTTAGCTATGGAACCATTTGCATGATGTTTGATGCGATAGGTCAATTTACATCCTAAGATGGAGGCGTTCGGTGGAGGAAGAACAAGAACCCATGTTCCTTGCTTTTGTAAGGAAAAGAATTTTGTTGTCATGGCTTGCTGCCACTCAAAGTGTTTGAAAGCATCAGTATAGGATGTCGGTTCTATCGATGTTGGATGACAGTCTTGTTTATGAATGAGATTGAGACGATTCGTTGGTTTTAAAGAACCGGTTTGATTCCTTGTAACCATGGGATGGAACCGAGAGATTGTTGGCATTGGAGGAGTGATAGAGTTTAGAGAAGGGGTTAGAGATTGTTGTTCTGTGTTGGAGGGAGGCTAAGTTGTGGTATGAATATGAGAAATAATCGGAGACGGAGTGTGACTGTGTGGTTGAGGAGGTTGAATGGCAGACGCTGTAATAAGGAGAGAAGGATTTGTGAAGGTCTGATTTGGTTAGGCTTGAAAAATCATATTTTTAAAAGGAAAAGAATGTTTAATAAAGGTAAGAATACGAGAGAGATAAATGCGGTGCGTATTGGGATCTAAGCAGCGAAAACCTTTGCAAGATTCAAGGTAACCCAAAAAAATTTAGAGGGAGACTTGGGTTGAAGTTTATGACGATGTTGTGAGGAAAGAAGGGGAAAGCATTTGCAGCCAAATATGCAGATATGAGAGTATGATGGTTTAGCATTATAAAATAGTTGAAACTGAGAGATATGATTCTTAGTGGGGGAGGGCATACGATCAATAAGATAGGTTGCTGTCAAAACAGCATCTGGCCAGTAAATATAGGGAACCAACGTCGTGTGAAGAAGAGTGCGGGTGGTTTCCATAATGTGCCTATGTTTGCGCTCGGCGAGGCCATTCTGCTCGGGTGTGTAAGGGCAAGAGATCTGGTGATGAATGCCATTGTTTCTAAGATAGGTAGTGAGATTACTATTTAAAAATTCCTTGCCTCCATCAGTCCTCAAGGTTTTAATTGTGTAGGTTGTTTGTTTTTCAATGTAGGTTTTGAAATTTATAAAAATGTCTGCGGATTCAGATTTAGCAGTCATGGGAAAAAGCCATGTAAACCTTGAAAAATCATCAACAAAGATAATATATTACTTGTAGCCTTGAGTAGACACAAATAGGGATGGTCCCCAAACATCGGAATGAATTAAAGAAAGCGGTAAAGTTTGTCTGTTTGTAGAATTTTCAAATACAAGTTTGTGCCCTTTTGAGGCATTACAAGAACTACAAGAATCATTGAATTTTGGTATACGACGATGTGGATTGTTTCTGGCAATTATATCAAAAACTCGGTGATTTGGATGTCCTAAACGGTAATGCCAGGTGATGGTGTTAGATTTGGATGATGTTAGCGCAGTTGAATTATGCTTATGAATAGGGTAGAGACCTTCAACGCATGGCCCGTGAAGAAGCGTTTGGTTGGAGGTCAAGTCCTTGAGAGTATAGCCATTGGGATAAAAAATCACAGCAATATTATTATCTTTAGTAAGTTTAGAGATTGAAAGAAGGTTATATATAATATCTGGTACGTGTAAAAGATTGGATAAGTGAAGCTTACGACTCGGAGTAGGGAGAAGACATTCGTCTCTGTTAGCTATGGGAACAGATGTACCGTCTCCTATAGTTATTTCTTTGTTTCCTTGATACGAACTGGAGATCGATAGGTTGTCGAGTGAATTAGTGATGTGGGATGAAGCACCTGAATCAAGATACCATTCATGTGCAAGTTGATCCAACGTAGTGAGGAGAGCTTTGTTTGCGGAATTAGTTGGTCTCGAAATGTAGTGAGCGTTGAGTCTGTGACAGCAATTGAAAGCCGAATGGCCCTTTTTGTTGCAGATCTGATAAACAGTGGTGGAGGTAGACTAGGACCGAGTGGTGGTGGACGACTGCAAGAATCCCCGGCCACGATTGCGTTGGCCACGTCCTCTTGAAGAGTATAGAGCAAGTGATGGATCAGGGGCATTAGTGCGAGCCAATTCCATGGCCAGATTAACTTCCTCACTTAATAGAAGGGAATATAGATTAACGAGACCGATGGGTTGAAGAGTGGTGCAGATAGAGGTTTTGAAAGCTTGGTATGTGTTAGGTAGACCGTTCAAAATATACAAGATAATATCCTCTGTATCAACTTGGGAGCTGGCAGCGGCAAATTGATCAACAAGAGATTCTATTTGAGTGAGATAGGTGGTCATATTGGAGGTTTTCATGGAAATGTTGTGTTGCTCATTTTTGAGCTGGATGTCTTTCAGCCTATTTGTAGATTGAAAACGAACTTCCAAAGCAACCCATATATTTGACGATGATTCAAGATTAAGAATATAAGGAAGAACAGACAGGGAAATCGTTGAGCATATGGCTGCCGAGAGATTTTGGTCAATACGCAGCCAGTTACGATAGAGCGGGTTAGGTTTTGTTGATCCGTCCGATTGTTGGATGCAATGGGTTGGAGGTGCGGAGGGGGCTTCAAAAAATGACATAAAGCCATTAGCTAAGAACACCTTGGAGATTTGAGATCTCCATAGAGAGTAATTATCAGATGAGAGTTGATTTGGGACAAGACTTTTAATGTTAGAGGAAGCAAATTTGAGAGAAGAAGATATACCATCGGCAGCGATCCTGAGTAGATCAGAGGATTCAGCGGCGTGCGTGGTTTCCGACGTCGCCATAAGCAGAGGAGGCTAGATCGCCTGCTCTGATACCATGAAGAATCTCACAATCTCAGGTTGAAGCAGAGTAACAGATGCAGAGAACAAAGAGCAAGAACAGGAAGAGAATGTAATGACTGTATTGCCTAAACAGAGATAATACATAGGTATTTATAGCCGCTGGGTGAATGTTTCAGAGCCAGCCGTTATCAAGAAACAAAAGATTACAATGGCTACTTAATTACATTAAATGGTTTTGCTCTAATAAGTAAGAAGATGCTTTAAGAAGGAATGAAAAGCCAATTTTTTTGCATTAAATGATAGGTCAAAGTTTTTGTACTAGAAAATATTAGATTCATTAAAATGAAACA